TCACTGCTGCCTTTCAATGACCAACTGCTAAGCAAGTGAACTTGCAAGTTTGGAATCTGTGGATGCTTTTAAGTGGGTAATCCCACATAATTTACTGTTTGAGCAAAGTCTGCTTCTAATTACAAAGATGCTACTTTCTTTGTCTATTCTGGCCCTAATTTCAATCAGTTCTTCCTTTCCCCTACACCCCTATGGAAATGTGGTCTGGAGGATGACCTGAAACAGACACCTTGAAAAAAATCACTGCCTTTTCATGAGTGGCCATGGCCACTGGAACAGCCACTCCTTTTTGCAACAGAGGACGGATCCTACTCTGGATTGGAGCTTTGTACAAAAATGATATACAATATGTCATTCCACAGTCTACATACTGATTTTTTCAAATGAAAGCCACAGCTAATTAAAAAAATATTTTGCAGCTATTTTACTCAGTAGTGTTTATGAGAGAGAAACAAAATATACATCTTTAATACATTTATTTTTGCTACTCTTATATCTGTTTCCAATATATTTATACTTCAATATTCACTGACTCTTCAATTGGGATACTTCCTCAAACCTCTCCATGTTTTAGAATCTATTTTCTTGAGACTCCCCAAAGTGCAGCATACCAATAGGTTAATCATGGCAAAACAATCATAATATTACACACGGTGACTAGCACAATATTAAAATACAACAGCTGGGATCCAAAGATCCTGCTTGAATGTGAAGAAGACACCTACTCAGATAGGACTGAGAGGTAGGGATGGGCCATGTACATATCACTAGTCCCACCTTAGATGTGCCCTCTGTGCACTTGAAAAATTGCTCTGGAGGGTCCCTTGATCCTTTAATGTTGGGTTTCTGGAAATATGGGAGACTGGTACACTGTATGTGTATGTGTATGTCTGTTTGTGTATTTGTATGTGCACACACATGTGTGTATCTGTGTAGAACTACTAATTTCTTCTGGTATGAATGCTGCCCTCCTCTGATGAATTATATATCTGGATATAATTTATATTATTAAAATACATCTTTAACATACATAGAATAATCTCTTCCATTCCAAAAGCAATACAAAAGAACAATAATCAGTGTTCCTCATCTCATTTCTAAAATATAATCACAAGCACTTTGGTATTTGCATTTTTGTGGTATTGCCTACTTTAAAATTTTGGAGTGAAACTGTTGACTATCTTGTATATCCATGACATTAAATAAAGTACTATTTAGCATAAACTTCAATACTGTTATTGTGCCTACTTATGTTTTTTCAATATTCTGTAAAAAAGTAAGTAGGACACAGACATCTCTACATGTAATGTCAAAGTTTTCTAAAACAACCTATTGCAGCTTTTTCCAGTTGTTTCCCTCCTGCTAGTTTGGGCTACAACTCCATACCACATTTGATCATTGGCCATGTTAATAAAGTGCAAGGTGCAGTCTACAAATAGCTAGAAAGCACAAGGTTGAAGAAGGCTACTCTTGAACCCGAAATGCAGACCAGACTTACAGACCTGTGCTATCCGTGTTAGAGTCGCAATAAACTGATCTGACATTTACATAACTTGAATATAGACACCAATGTACTTTATCATTTGTGTTGAAAATGTATTACAGTATGTGTTTCTTTTTGATAATTGCCTGTGCATTTTCTTATCTGATGATAAAGAGAAACATCTGAATCCCTTCTTTAGACTTTGAGTAATGCACAGAATAGTACTAAGATTCTCCTCGTCGCTTGGCAAAACAATATGGACCAAGTAGTTTACAAAACCTTCATAAACAGTTTCCTGGCTTCTGCCATTTTCTCTGTGCTCTCCTACACATATTTTAAAAGCAGAAATGAATAAAAGTAACATTAGAGAAGTTCAGATCTAGGTCCCATTTCTTTCACTAAATGACTCAGACATGCTTTAAATCAGTGGGATTAAAAGTATTTAATACTGACCTCACTGTACTATATATAGTACAGGGACCAAAGAATTCAGATTGTGGATCAATCACTAAAGCCTCTACTTCCCTTTCTTTACTTCCTATATAATCTTTATATAAGAGAGTCTCCAAACACAATTCAAACTCTTTCAGCATTCTGTAATAAACTACTACATCCAATTCACAATGTTTTGGACCACTGCTCAATTTCACCAGTTCAGTTCTTATGAAATCCCCAATACTCTACAATTCACTGTTACTGCTTACTGTTGACATATAACTTTTAGATCAATGCAAAGTATCAGCATCAATGATCTCCTGCCAAGTCTGTCCTGGTTTTGCAGTCGCATCTCTTGCAACAGAATAAAGTGGCTTAGATTTGTTCTCCAGCTGATCTAATAGCCATGTGAACATAAATTGTTACATCAAATATGTTCTTGGTTTATGTATGTGTACCTGCATATATATCTATATATTTCTATTTATAATACAGTTTCTTGTATTTATTATTTACATGTATTTTCTTAGTCAGATTCTTCTTAACAAGTCAACGATAAGACTTTTTAAGAGTCTCATCATTCACTAGTAATGATTTATAATTTTTTTAGTTTTTCTAAGGCTGATTGGTATTCTGTTGTACATTTCTAATGGTGCTGTATTTTTCTTGTTTCTGTGTGCCATGAAAACAATTTCTGTTCACAGAATTTGCTTTCTTTTATTAACATTTTAACATGAAAATGTTTAAAGTTCTTTGGGAGATATTACAAATGTCTTCATTAAAGAGAAAATATTAGAATTTCTTGCATTGCAAGGTTTACAGTTAGTCCACAACCAGGAATGTTTCAATGAAGGTCTATAAATTCCACATATCCATGGCAAGCAGAAATTATGCCAAATTAGAACCTTTAATTATTTGATAGACTCATCCACTTTTTTTAGCCTGACACTGGAGAAGCAGGCCAGAATCCTATTGGAGATTCAATAAGTGTAATTGCGTTTTCCTAACTGTGGCAGGAAATTGCCACTACTTAATGAATTCCAGCTCACATTCCTGTGACATGCCAAGTCACAGAATGAGCATATGACCAGGAATGCAAGCAGCAACTCATTAATGTGATTTATGCGATTGCACATATGGTAATATAAATCCTTAATAGGATTCTGGCCTATTTTTAATAACTGCATTCATTTCTGTCAATCAGGTTTAAATATTTCAATAAATCTGGCTGTTCTTTATTTACTGCATAAGTTAAATGTTTTCCTTTACCTGTATATTCTTTCTCAATTTGACATATCCTTATGGGTTGTGTAGACTAATTTTTCCTGTCAGATCTGGATAGTAGACACTTTCTGAGTTAAAAAGGTATCTGTCTTTTCCATGGACACTTCCTGGTGACTCTATATTCTAAATATAAAGTGTAAGCCTCTAACATGAGGACGCTTATACCTTATACAAGGGGTATTCTACAGTAAAGGTAGTTGTTGACACAGAGAAGACTGGGATTGCTGGGCCTTAATATGTAATTAAATACCATATTTTTGAGAGAATAAGAGAAAATAAGTTTGGTGCCTCCATTAGAAAAGAAAAACCTGGTCTTCTCTATCTGGGTACATGCCTGTTCTAGACGCTGCGTCTAACATCTGTTGCTTTATATTTAATGTTTGAACCTTCAGTGTTTCAGTGTTTTATCTGCCTGCTCGTTCTTCCACTACAAATATCACTCTTTAATTTTAAAGACCTAATTCTATGACTTCCTTATTTCTACAAACAACAGCTTAAAAGGAAGAGCCCTTGACACATCTAGATGGCACTTGACTTGAATTGCTACACTATCGCAGTGGGAGATGAATGCTGTGCTTCTATTCAAAATCTGCAGACAACAAAACATGTACGTTGGTGGATCTGCTTCTATCAGAGGAATCAGAAAAGGGCTACCTGCCTTCTTTTAGCTTCCAATACATTGTGCAAAGCCTGCTCTAGAGATTAAGAAATCCTCGGAGCTAGTTCACAAGAGGTACTGAAGACTGCAGCAGGAGGAGAAAGTGCAGCATACCAATGGATTTAGATTTCTTGATATTAGCAATATTGTGTCGATATATCTTTCACATACACACAAAATGCTGTAAACATGTTCTAAAATCAGTTATATGAAAGTGCTGACTAAGAATGAATATAGGCTTTGGCATAGGTTAACAATAAATAATGGACATACACCTGTGGCTAGGTGATTATAAATAAAACATCCTTAAACAGTGCTAACTTAACTTTATGCTAATACAAAAAGTCTTCACCTTTCCATTCAGCAAAATGAAGACTATGTAGGAACAGAAACCAGCGCTTAAATCCAATTGCCAGTCTAAACTAGAGAAGACCCATTGAATCAATTGCTGAATGCTAAATCAATGCTTATATAAATCCCATTGAGTCAACAGTTCTGTTTCAGTTAGAACTGCCAACTGGATTCAGGCTCCAAACAGTAAAGGATGTGCCAGTTACATTATGTAACTTATTCAGGACAAAACATTTTGTTGTTACTTCTCTCATCACATGTGCAAAATGAGTCTTCTATCTCTACGACATAGGGCGAGATTCCTATAAAAATTGTAGTAAAATACAGAATACATCTAATACATTTAACTTTCAATATTTTAAGAAGGTAAAGTGAATCCTTTGGATGTGGATCATTCATTTTAAACTGAATCAGTGAATTCTACAGTCTACACATACAGGGTACCATAAACCTATATAAGCCAACATACAGCTGAGAAAAAGCTATTTGATTCACTGTATAAAATCCTGGCTTTCCTCTCTTCTATTAAATTAGTGCACTTTGCATAGAATACTTCATATAACTTTTAAGAAAAGACCTGTAGTTAAGCCACACAAGGAAGAGTTATTAAAAAAACCCTTCACAATTGTCATGTAAACAAACGTCTCTGTGTTCCTCCTTCTGTACAAGCCAAGGAATTGAAAAGTCTTTTGTGGATTGTCTGAGGAAGAGAATAGCAAAGCAAAGCTTCATAACATATTAATAAGGTGCTCCCTAGGGAATGGTCAGAATGAAGAATCATGCAAGGTATTAAATCACACTGTCATTTATGTGTCTTCTTCTTTCAGCCGGTGGCCACGCTGGCTTCCTTCTGACGTAGTCTTTCTTTCTGTAGTTTAAGGGAGGAAATAAGAGAGACTTTATTATCATTCTTTTCTTTAATTTTCCATCTGTTCTCAAATTGCAAAGAATATGTGGTCTAATAGATTTGAAGAATGGAGCGCTCTGAAACCAGAGTAGACAAAAGGTTTATTTTTCCTCCTCAGAAAATTAATTCCTGAAGTGCTATACGAGATGGAATGGCAAGTTTGTAAATCAATTTACAACCTTACTTCTAAAGAAACATCTATTAGGTCCTGGAAGATCTTTCAAACTAAGATGCGCTAATTTATTACTGTAAAGGATAAGTAATGTGGATGCAAAAGAAAAATTAAAAAAAAATTGGGAAGCCAAAATGTGCATGGTTGCAAATGTAGAGAAAAGAAATCAGAGGCATGATCCAAAGCTGACAATGCCATAGGTTTTCCTTTCCTACAAAGCAGGAAAAATGCAATGATGGTCCAGGCCAAGATTGCTTTGGTAAGAGAAGAAAAGGGACCCATATTTATTGGGGCACCTAAATTTGTTCTAGAATTTTGGAATGGAGCAATTCCACTTCAGAAAGCAAATGGCAAGCTCTCCTCCAGTATTAGTAGTATGCCTGGCCCTTTACACCACATTGTAACAATAGTGAGTAGCAGCACCTCTATGCCTGACCGAAGCACAGTGTTTATACATTTATTGCTGCTAAATTAGATCCACCTTTACTTGGTTAGCCAGTATTGGTTGCATCCAAATATGGCAAAAGAATTTTCCATTTCTCTAGGCACACGAAGAGACAGCAGCCTCCACTGGACACAGTGCAGCAAGCCAGACATGTTCATAGATAAACAGAATGACAAATGAAGAAAAAGGCTGATAAAAACTTCCTATCAACTGCCTTTAGAGCTAATTTCCTATTATACAAACAGAAAATGATATTTAGTAGCACAAGGCTACAAAAACAGTGCGCGAGACTCTTCAGTGTGCACACAGTGCAGCATGAAAAGATACACTGAGTAAGAGACAAGTGTCAAAACTGAGTCTACTTTTCAGGATTCAAATTCTTGCAGAGCTTTCTCAGGATAGTGGTCTGTTCAATGACAGGCTAAACTTGATGTGCATAGGTTTTGTGAACTGGCCACAAGTCTACTATACTAAAAAATAAAGTAAAAAAGGGTTTGAAGATACATAGTTGGAAGAGACATAACAGTAAATTACTTGAATAAATTAAACATATGTGCACTGCTGGTTGTATTTAAGAGAATTAGAAACCAGAGTCACTGGAAAGTCATACCAGACTGGTGGTAGGGTTGATTTTCTTGGTTTCTACTTTCTTCTCTGCAGTTATCTTGCTCACTGATTCTTGGGCCACTTTCAGTCTGAAACGAAATACACACAAGAGACCTTTTTAGAGCCAAAGAAATTGTGTTTGTTTGGCACACAGTAGATGCCTTCCAAAGCATCTAACTTGTGAACATGCACACAGCAAAGCAAAGCAATTCACTATACAGTGGTGCCTCGCATTACGATGTTAATTCGTTCCAGCGAAATCGCTGTAGAACGAAAACATTATAAAGCGATGTTAAAAAGCCCACAGAAACGCATTAAAACCTGATTAATGTCTTCCTATGGGCTTGAACCTCACCGTCCAGCGAAGATCCTCCATAGCATGGCCATTTTCGCTGCCCATGCCATTTTTTTATCCAGCGGCCATTTTGAAACTGCCGATCAGCTGTAGGAAAATCGTCGTTTTGCAAGAATTGGTTCCCGAAGCAGGGAACCAATCATTGCAAAGGAAAATTTCCCCATAGGAAACATCGTTTTGCCATTACAAAAACTTCGTCATAATGCAATTTCGTTGTAAAACGGAGCGCTCGTCTTGCGAGGCACCACTGTAAAGGATAATAAATCCTGGAAAGGTTACTTTGGGGATCCAGAATCCTGTTGAAACTGTGCATGTAAAGGCAATTGTGAAAGGGATTTGCACCCTCTGGTGGGGTCTGTCTCACATTGACTAGTCTTGCACTGACTGCTCCACTAGAACAGTAGTTCTCAAACTGGGGTCCCCAAATGTTCTTAGACTGCAATTCGCAGAAGCCTTCATTCACCACTAGCTACGGTGGCCAGGATTTCTGGGAGTTGCAGTCCAAGAACATCTGGGGAACCAACTTTGAGGAGCACTGCACTAGAGCGGTTCTCAAAGTTGTTGAGTAAGTTAACAAACTGCTTACAATTCTGGCCTTGGATTGTAGCCAGCCATGCTGAATGGCTTATTCTGGGAATTACAGTCCAAATAATTTTTCAAGCTACTTAAAGAAGACACTATTTTCTTGTCAGATAAAAATGGAGAACATATTACAAGTAAGATCACAGCTCTTCTGACTTGACAGAAGGAGGCCCCCACTAGCACAAATGGTAACTTTATTTCTGGGGCAAACAGCAGCCAAGAAGAAGGACAATCCACATCGGGACCAGAGTAGATATAAAGGGTTAAGTCATAATTTTGCATGCTGTCTCAGTCTAAATTACTTCCCACTGGTCCCATTTTGGAAAAAAACAAAAACAAACAAAAAAAAATAAACCCTCAAGCATGTAAGACATCTACTTGGAACTCCACTCATTTGGGGGGGGGAGAATAATATTGATATAAGAATTATAATTATTTTTAATATCAATATATTTTATAGAATCACAAACATATTGAAAATAAAACAACTAAGACTCATGTCTACTTCTGTTTCCATACACCGTGCCAAGATCAATTTTTTCAAAGTCTAGTGCAACACAATATTGGAAAGTGAGTGTGAGGGATGTATAAAGCTGACATGTATTTTTTCTTAGTTTATAATTGAAGATTATTGTTCATCAGTTACATCCATGTCTAGAGATTTTAAAAAAGCAAATTGCTTATCCATATTGTGCATGTGCAGGGCTGCTCTTAAACAGCTGTTTAATGTCTGTAACTGAATTATGCTTGTTTAAGGAAAGAGTCACATTACTTTTCAGAGGTCTCACTTCAAACCATATTTAAGCAGTGTGCTGATAAGAAATATAAAAATACTCTAATGTTAATTATGCATTCCATGATTAAATCTCAAGAGGTTTAATGTAATGTTAAATTGATCTGTCTATAAAAATTATAAAGCTTCCATGAACTATCTTCAGGGGGGAAGTTTTATAATTTTCAATTATAGTTTTTAAAAAGTGTTGACGAGTTTCATCCTTTCATGGCAGGACATCACCTATGTCCACCAAAATGACCGTAATTCTCTCCACAATTTTAAAAACCTGTAATTTGTGTACTAAATACATCCAAACAGCTATACAGTGGTGCCTCGCATAGCGACGTTAATTCGTGCAGCAAAAATCGCTGCTAAGCGATTTTGTCGCTATGCGATTTTTAAAAGCCCATAGAAACACATTAAAACCTGTTTAAAGCATTCCTATGGGCTTAAAACTCACCTTAAAGCGAAGATCCTCCATATGGTGGCCATTTTCGCTGCCTCTTATGCGAGGAATCCGTCCCTAAATACAGCAGGTGGCCATCTTGGAACCGCCGATCAGCTGTTTAAAAATCATCGCTTTGCGATGATAGGTAAGTGAAACAGGGAACCGATCATCGCAAAGCAAAAAAACCACATAGGAAACATCGCAATGCGATTGCTTTTGTGATCGCAAAAAGTTCATGGCTATGCGGTTTCATCGCTAAACGGAGTGCCCGTTAAGCGAGGCACCACTTTACTCCTTATAAGTTGCACATACTTTCCTAGCTACTTCCAGCTATCAAAAGCTGTTCATTTTATTTTCAGACAAGAATGGTAAACACAAATCTATTTGAAAGGCAAGTTTTAACATAGGAATTTTGTACATGGACCTTCATTCAAAGTGACATCCTCAAAAGTAGTGGGCAAAAAAACCTGAGAAACATTGTGATGAATTGTACCAAAAAGGCAATGAAAGTACCGTATTTTTTGCTCCATAAGACACACTCCCCTCCCACATAGTGGGGGAGAAAGTGTGTGCGTCTTATGGAATGAATACAGTAAAAAAGGGGTTCAACCACCACCACCCAGAAGCCCCCCACTGCCATGCTGGAAGGCCTCTGAACTAGCACCAGAGACTGCTTGCTGTTTGGACCTCACCATTCTGCACTGCTGGCTTTCTAGCATCTGCTTCCTGGAGCCCACCTGGAAAACCAGCAAGGCCAACAGGCCTATGGCAGCAGGCAGTGAAAACAGCCAAGGACCAAAAGGGAAAGAGTGATTCTAGAAAAACCAGGGGAAACCACAAACACAGACCCCTGCTTAGGCAGTTGATTTTCCCATATTTGGGGAAATCATAGGGGTCAGCACATCCAAAGTGCAATAGATGAGCCTCACCCTGGGAAAACCACTTTGATGATCTTGGTATCTCCCCTGCCAGGTATGAGTTGGAATGGCCTCTGAACCTCTTGCCCCTTTCTTTGCCCTGTCCCCCAAAAGCCATGGTGACCCACCGGTTGCACCTCCTGATCAAAATAGTGCTGCACAGCCCCAGTCCCAAAAGAGGCCGAGAGCTATTCAGTGTTTTGGGGTGCCCCACAGGACCCCCATCAGGGGCTGGATGTTCCTCCCACAATTCTCCAGTGCACAGATAATACCATACCTAATATGCGGGGAAGGCAGGGAAAGCGTGGAAATTCAAATTTTCAGTTAGTGAAGAGGCTGCTTCTCTGCTTCCTTGCTAGTCCAAGCAGTTAGAGAGCTGGGAGAGAGACCTGGGACTGCCTGGTATTGTCGTTTTAAAATGTAAAATTTAGTT